GCACTCACAGGTTGATGTTTTTAATTATAATGGTGAATTTTACAATCTGCCATAACGTACCGTTTTGTCAATTATGGTCACATTTTTCTACACAGCGGTACATAGTGCATCAAGCAAAAATAAAAATATTCGAAACCTATTTGACATATTCACTTAACCATTTCAATGCTCTCGAAGGCCTTCTTTTACATTTGGAGCTTTAGTGGTGTAGAATAGTTGGCCAAGTCAGTTATTTGGCCTCTTCAGCCATTTAACCTTCATTACATGGCACATCATTGTATGTCAATTACAGTGTAAAAACATTGAAATATATATATTGTCCCAATAATGACAGCACAGCTGCACAACATCATAGGTAATGTCTTAATAATAGACAATTAAAAAGGAATCAATGATTTATTTTATTCATAATTACACTATGCCCATAATTGCAGTGTGACAGCCTGCTTGCACCTGGCCTTTGTTCTGCCTGTTGTTCTGCGGCTTTCAGTTCAGTTTTCTGTCCCACTGAGTCCCTCCGTTTTGCGATTATTCTTGTTTAGCTACCCTCATAAAATGGTCAAAGTAAGAAAATAACCAACTATCGTGTTACTTTGAGTCTTAATGGCGGTCAATGAAGGATTTGCCAATCATTATTGACTTAGATTCTGAAGTAGCCCAAGCAAGAGATGTATCATACTATAACCCTCACTGTGATGAGGAACAAGTCTGCTTTAGGTCTCTCCAATTTCATAGAGCCAGTCGAAGTAGATGGCTCACCATTAAAGGTTTTATCATCAAACAATCACTGGTGAGGATTAACTTCACATGCGTATTGGCCAAGCCCTGTTTATTCGTCTGTGTTACTTATGTTTCTGTTGCAGGAAAGTGATTGATGAATTAAGTGACAATAGAAGCTCTGAAATTGAACACAGTGACAATCAAAGTTAGTTTATATATTTCTGTTAATTATTATTACTTCGAACTTTAGCAATAAATCCAAGAGTTTATATATGATTGCAATTTAAAGAGCTTGATTACAATTCTGAAAACCAACCAATTTACAAAACTCCACCAATTAAACAATCTGCAGAATGTATCATTCATA